CAGCAGCAGCAGGAGGAGGAGCAAGAAGCAGTCTCAGTGGAACGTAGCATCACGTAGCAGGTGGCAAGTGGACTTGCGAGCTCCAAGTGTCAGCAGCCAAGGACCTGCAGTCCCGGTTGTGCCCCTGAGCAGAGCCGGCTTCTGAGATTCTGAGGCTCCTCGTTTCCATCTCAATGTCGTTCTCACCATCATGATGGGTATCTTCAGTACTAACTATGACTTCATGTTTAACGTCATCGGTGTTTCATCCTGTCAGCAGCCTTATGGCTTATTGTTGACATGTATGCGACTAGTCGTTTTCATTACGCATTTTCGTAGCTTGTCTAGGTTGCTGTCAACACGCGGCAGCAGTTTTGAACCGGAACAACTAAGCTCACGTGTTCGACTGCCTTCTTTCAAGCCGTTGGAGAACGCAGCTTTCCTTGTCGAGTCATTACTTTCACCTTTGTCTTCGTGGCAGGTCTTCAATTTCGAGAGTAGCAGTCCCGAATCCGCATCTTCCGACCCGGAGGGCTAACAATTACCTATACTATTTTAGTGGCTCCTTATTATGATGCATAGAATTAGCGTATTATACCCCAGAACCTTATTCTAATAGGTTCTGATGATTAAGGCCCCGATGTTAGACTCCTGTCATTTGAACAACCCCCACCTGAGCCTTCAAGCCTTCAACTCCAACCCTTCGTGTGACTGCGTGCAACAAGAAAAGAAGGCCGAACCAATACTTACTGATCTCGATCTATGTCAAAGTAGAGGGTCCCTGCGAAAGTTTCGATGTATGTAATTAGTTACATGTAGGCAATATACATCTACGCATAGTCATACACATCTATTTCGTGCAAGTGCAAGTGTAAGTGTATACGTACCGGCAGCAAGGTTCTCGCGTACCAGAGTTACCAGAGCCTGAGGCGTGGCCATCACGGTTGCAGGGACATCAGTGCAATGGAGCCGCAGCCCAAGAACCGCCACAGAACTGCTCTTAACAGTCTTAACATTAACATGCGACAGCATCAAAAGACGGATCCCAGCGTTTTGAGAGTCTCGGATTTCAGATTTCACGGCTGAACACACGACAGGTTTATTTCGTCAACACTGCCAACGCTTCATGCTAGTCTTGTCTCAAAGTCCCTTGGTCGGTGAGTCTTCGAGTTGCACACTAAGTACATCTAAGTGCAGTGCGACATGAGGTTACACAAGAATGCAGCATGCACGAAAATCAAGTGTCATCCGACCGAATCGAAGGTGCGGATAGTATTCCGATCACAATCCGTATTGGTGTGACGCCGCTATCAGCACCACTATTAATATTATCTTGTTGGCGCCATTGCTACTGTTTCTTTTTGGCATGGCAGTGGTTACGACGATTGTATTTGATGATTGGTGTTTGTTTTCCCCTTGTTTGTTTTGGTACGGGTAGCGCTAGAACTAGCATCATGACCAAGCTTGCATGAGGTTGAGATGACTTGGGGATTTGTAGGGTATACAGTACCTCTTGGGAAGTCTGCGTTCCGAGAGCTACTTTCATCCGTCCGTATGACCGGTCCTTCGGGTTGCATTGACGTACATGCTTGTTTAGCATGACGAAATGTCAGGAACATGTGCCTGTAAAGCGTTCACGTGGAACGGAGCAGCATTGCACACATGCGTAGAGCAGTTATGATTGTATTCGTATTCAAGTCTTGAGCATCGATGCACTTGGGGGCCGAATGATACTAACAGATGCCATGGCTAGACTCACGAAGGGGATGGAAAACTAGGAACAGAACGGCAAGCTTCAGGGTTTGCGTGCCTTTCACGACGATTGTGACAAGCGGTAGTTGCTATGTGTGTTGGAAGAGCCAGATCTTTGCATGACCTCTGACCTGTGGCTTTCAGCAGTCTTGGCGATCTTCACGTCCGTCGAGGGCTTGTCGACTGCCGCCGTTGATTCACTAGATGAAGGAACGCAGGAGCAAGAGATGAAAGTTCCCTTCCTACGTAGACATGTAGTACCCACACTCGAGAGCGCTTGGAGGGGGCCAGACAACTGCTCCTTTTTTGCAACGCAGCAACCCTGTAGCCCTCCAATCCACCACACCACGTCACCAACTCCAGCCTTTCCGGCCTCACCCTCGAGCTTTGAGCTTTCTGCACTTCCCTGCCATGGTGGAAGAGCAGCTCAAACAAGCCGAGGCTTTCAAGGAGCTTTTGGGGCGAGCCGTTTCAGCAATCGTGCTACACAACTATAGAGCCATAAAGCCATGGCAGTTCACGGATCTGCACGCAGGAGGAAGGAAATCGCTTCCACAAAGAAGGCCTGATCCCAAGCGAACACAGGCACAGGGGTTCTGTGCATGATCGGGAAGATCCCCATGTCAAGGCAACTACAAGCGTGCCCTGGGAGCGTACCACAAGGCAGGACAACGAGATTCAAGGCTTTCGGAGAAGGGTCAAGACTTTGAGGTCTCCGAGGTCCGTGTAGAACTGAGACGCCGCTGTGCCAAAGGTGTTCTGCTTCGTGAACGGCTTGGTGCCACCACCTGCGGGTCAAAAGGACGCCTCGCAGGACCCGTCTGCCCGTCTTGCCTGGTGTTGGCCCAAACATCTCAGGCGGAAGCCCGGGTTGAACCCTCATCTGCATGACAGTTGCCATGCTCTGTCATTGGGTCACTCTGGTACATACGGATACCCATGCAGTGCTTTTCGATACGTGCATGGCAGCCACATGTCTAAATAATCGTACGGAGGTAATCTGTATGTATGCATGAATGCCTGCCTGCATGCGTGCATTTATGTATGTACGTATGAGTTACGTATGTATCCAGACGTAATGCACAACAGTATTGACTACACCGTACATCTGAAGCATCTAGCAATTAACAACGCTGTACCTACGGTAGTGCCATCCGTGCCGGAGGATCCCGGTGGCCTTGGCAGCAACCAGATTCCCCAAGACCGCGTGGAGGACCTGAAGAAGCTGAGTCTGGGCTCAAACCATGGGAGCGAGGGTTTCCTGGGCAGGCGTCCTTTCGTAAGGGATGCCTGCAATAAGGATGAAGCTACCCGGGGTGAGAGTACTAGACAAGTGCATGCCCCGGTTTGAAAGTCTGACCCGAAGCCCCGAGCTTGAGCAAAGTACCTGGACAAGGCATGCGTGTTTTTGTCGGGCTGCAGTCTGACGCCTCTGACTTGATTCAAGTTTGTCTTGTTCGTGTTGATGTGCTGCCGTTCTTAACTCAGGTATGTAAAGGACAAAGAGCATGACTTTTCATTAACAAGCCATGAGGCCGGAACGGCCGCGCACCGCAACCTAAAAGCCAACAACATCGCTGCATCAGCCAAGGAAGCAAGCTACCCGACTAAATATGGCAGTTGCTCGGCAGCAGCAGATCGGCCACGATCCAGTCGCGATGCCTTCTATTCGTCTTTGGAGCTCAACCATCTGATATGCAGTTGTCATTTCTCCTGCATGCCTTGGCCAGAGTTTCGGAGTTCATGCTGCACCCGAATAGCCGCGAATTCTGGGTGAGTGTATGTATGTGTGCGTGTGTGTGATTGTGTGTCTTGTGATCTGTTGAATCCCCTCAGCCCTGCGGTTTCCGAGCAGGGCAGGCAGTTTGGCTCTGCCCTTATCCACGGCACCAAGTGAAGGCAGACGCCGCCCAGGCCTGCTACCTGAAACTTGGAGACTTCCACAAGTGTGTCGAAGCCTGCACTGCGGCGCTCGACTTTGGTGCCCACACGAAGGCAAACAGAACATTCACTGAGTGTTGATCTGTTGGGTCGAAGAATAGGTTTGCAAAGTCTGCTCGATTGCAGCACTGGCCAACAGCACAAACGAGCTTTCAGATGTTTCTGATTCACAGGTAAGACTTCGCCCCAAAACTCTGACAGCTTAGATTGTCGTCTCTTTGTAAGGCTGTCTGCGACCATCCTCCTTCATTCCAACAATTCTTCTCGGATCCCCTAAACCGGGAGCGCATTGGGAAGAGCTCTCGGCTAAATACCCTCAACCCCTAGCTCGAAATCCCGAAGCCCCCAAACTCTCAGTCATCCTCAGTCCCACCCTACGAACCTTCGTCTCAAGAGCCTAAACCTGTAATAAGTCCCAAAAGCCTAAGCCCTAAATCCCCAAGCCCCAGCAAACCGCATGGAAGGCGTACTTCCGACGGGCGCAAGCCTACGTGGAGCTCAGAAACTTGAGCTTCTTGGGCGGCAGACTTGGGAGGGTCGGAGCTTTAGGTTTCAGGGGCTGAGCGTTCAGGGGCGATATTTTGAGCAGAGATTCTTCGAGCTAGACATTGCCTCATAAGAGATCTTTATTGTAAGGATCCTGCTCCTCAGGATATCTGGAGGTCTTTCTTGATCCCTGAGCCTCCATCCTGAGACCGGCAAGCAAGGGAGCTTAGCGCAGACACCTGATACTACAGCATAGGAAAGTGTACCATACGTAATTCATACCATCAAGATACGACAAGATACCATGCGTAATCTCTTATCATGTACTATAAGATACTATAATACAATAAAGTCAAGCTCCACCTCCGACCCTGCCTTGAAGCCCTCATACCCTAAAATCCCTAGCTCCTCAACCCATCTAAACCCTGCAAGCTCCAAAAAACTAGACAATGCCTTGCTTAGGGATCTTTATAGCGCGGAGTCTACTGTTTCGGATACGCTATTAAACCAACCCCGCAAGGCGACGCGGAGGCAGACCTTGGTAAAGCGCGGTCTTTGGCGCCTGAGGACGCCAGAGTCCTTGCGCTGCTGCCTCCTGGGCCAGGAATACGGTGGAGTTTATGGTTTAGGGAACCCTAAACCCCAAACCTGAGCATATAGAGTCTTGAGTTTCGGCTTTGCTAGAGAGGTAGGTTTAAACTGGTTTGGGCATGACCGTTCTGCAACAGATGTTGGGGCGTGCTTTCATGGCAGTTTCAGACTTCGGATTGGGAGGCAACGGTGCGTCGAAACGGCACATATCTTTTTGCACCAGCTGCTAGATGAAGAGGATGAGACCTTGATTCCCAGACTTCCGCTCGTCTTGTCCTGCCAACCTAGGCGCCAAGTCCGCCGATCCATGAAGCAGGGCGACGCGGAAGATCGACAACGTTCTCTAATTGCAGCTATGTCTATGTTCAAACAACAGCCACAGCAGGGAAGTTGCCGCTACAGCCTACTGACTGCTGCCCGAAAGGATCAGAGGTGCAGGGTCTTGCGCAGAGGTTCGCTAGGGACGGAGCATGCTTGCCAGATGGTCTGCACGTGCTGGGTAAGGGTCCACATTCTCGCGACACCTGCGAGAACAAGGCAGAAGTCACTACTATCCTGCAACAGGTTGCCAGTGTTAGCACATTCCGTACAGCTCTTTCACTGCGTGCATGGATCCTCGAGTCCAAGTCTGAACCTGTACCTCATATCAGCACGTGGCTCCTGTGGAGACAGGCCTGATGGATAGCATCCTTAGTCGTCGTCTGTCTCCGGTACGCGTAGAACCCCGAAGTAACACCTGTAAAGCTAGAACAGAGATAAGATAATGCGGCTTCTCCACACATTGTACATCGGACGTCTGCGAGCTGACGCCACGCACCTGCACAATCGGCCCAGTGTGCCGATTCAGTGCCGATGCCCTTGGGTGCGAGTCCCTGTTTGGTGGTGCCACCTTTGCATCCTGGCCGGCAATGCCATACCGCAAACCCCTTGCCGCAAGCGATGCCCGTGCCTCAAATAGCACCGCAATGGCACCCGCAAGCGATGACAGCTTTCCAGGCGATCCCCGTTTCTGTGACCCGGCCAAACCACCTGATCATCCAGCCGCCACAGATTGGAGTGAACATCACGACACAAAAGCGAAGCTCCCCCTTGCCACAAACGGCGATGTGGCGGCCGCACGCACAGCAGCTCGTGTGGCAGCCGATGCACAGGCACCGCCGAGCAGAGTCAGCCATCAACAGTGGCAGATGCATTCATTCCAGCCAGCACCCCCAAACTATCCGCGCATCTCGCACCATCAGTGTTTGGGACCCGTGCGAGTTCCGCAGCTGGCGCATGCCCTCTCCCACATCCCCCCGCCGACGCAAGCCCTTGCACAGCCAGCCAGTACAGCCCAGTCCTATTCACCACCCTTGATCACCAAATGCAGCTGTCCATTTGTACGACCCAATCCCGAAGCCGAATCCAGCGGCCCAGACCCCGCAGACTAAGCCTGACGGTCAGGATGTGGAGACGGTGTCGAGCGTCTTGACCCGGACGAGGTGCATGGCGTGCTGGTAGATGTGCGGGGTAATGATCGTGCTTCGGGCTACATCGACGAGTCCATCCACGTCCCGTGTACCACAGAGGATCCACTCTATCCGAAAGTACCAAAGCTTGTGGAGATGTTGGCAAACGAAAGCTTGGTGGTCTTCGCAGGCCAGTATTTCGTGCCACAGGGCACCCACGTGCACTAGCTGGTATAGGGCTAAAGCTCTCAAGGAGCAGCGTGTGGCGGTGCTAGAAGGTGGGTTTCGTGTTCGGGAAGCTGCGGCGGCTTGCCGTTTAGAAAGGATAACATTGTTGATGAAGAGGCAGCAGACAAACATGCCGTAGGGAAAGGTGCTCGTCTAGCTGGAAAGCAGTTCATGGAATCCTTGCCAAGCCTGACGGCCCGGCATTCCGGTTGCGGCACAAAGGTGCATGTTGAATGGCGGAAGAAGTATGAGCCAGCAAGGGTAGATCCCAGCTTCTCGATCCCCAGACTGCGCACATCAGCGATATCTTTCTGCATGTTCTTGGCAACATGTCTCGGAATCGAAGCTGTCCTGAGGCTATGCTGGCATGTTCGGCAAGCCGGAGCCTTTGCTCAAACTGGCCCTGGGTCCTTGAGCAGTGGGAAGACCCTAAAACCCCAAACCCAGAGTCCAAGCTCCAAAAGTTCAGAGAATTTTCGTCCGAGGCATCGGAAGAGCCTCCTGCAGAGGCATCGGAACAGGCTCCCGCAGAGGAACCAGCTCTGCCGGAGGCCGTGCAAAAGGAGGAGGGGACTGGTGCCCGGTGGGCAGAGGGTTGACCACCAACCCAATCTTCATAAAGCTGGCTTTTGCAACATCCTCGCTCCTGCATGTTGATGCAAATGTAACCCTGTTTCAATCCAACGGTATATCCGTCGGGCGCCCGAAACGGGGGCTCCTATTGTTGGCGACTGCTCATCCCGAATTTGCAAAACGAATCCCTGTAACGATTCAGTTGGGCTCCCCTGTCAGGACTTTGAAGTTTCTTAAGTGGTTTCTGAATATGCGATTTCTGTAGCAGCCCTAAGCCCAAACCTTCAGTTTGCAGGAGGCCCCTTGCACTTGCACTGCAGACCCGCTGGAAGCTCCGACCCCGGCGCGCGCGGAGCGCCGGGCGGAGGCGCGCGACCTGGGCGAGGCCTCGGCTTCTGCATGGGATCCTGAATACTTCATATATACTATATGCTATCTATCTATCTATCTATCTATCTATCTATATATATATATATTATATACACATACATACAATGTACCAGGTACCATAAAGGGTTCTTTCGCTAAAACCAAATGATCCTGAAAAGCAGGGGTCCTATGCCATTCTACTGTGAGTCCCTAGATGGTATGCCACCAACTACACTATAGTTCCTGCATCTAATGGGTATCAGTCTCTGTGAGGAACCCAGCGGCAAGGCGCAACCAAGGACCAAGGGCCAATGCTACTCGACTCCAAGGCAGAAAGCAAAGAAGGAACACTTGATAAACAAATTATGCTCCTTTGCTTGTGTCGCTTGTCTCTGCTTCTCGTGGTCAGGCTCTCCATAGAATTTCATGACTTCCGCAACTACCCGCCGAAGACCATTGCGACTTCACAACAGATTGAGCAGGCATCATCCTACTGATACGCAGGGCCCGGCATCGCCTACAACCGCATACTGTAACCTCTATCTTCATCAGCATCTTCATCGCCGCCACCATCATCGTTACTACTGGCGTCTCATGGTCATGCAAATCATTTGGTCCTCGTCACTGTCGTGTGGCTGGGTGGAAAAGAGGGTACTTTCAAGGGTGAAGATGAAACGAAATGATAGGAACCAGCATTCCCAACAAGAAGGCGCACGATGAGGCCAAGAAGCTGGATCGCGCCGTCCGAGAGCCTCAGCTTGATTTTCGCCTTAAAACGGAGTTGAGGTCAGGGTCTGGCAGGCCTCCTCTCACGGAGAAACAGGCGCGAGGTGACCATGGAAGCAAAGCACTGTATTTCCTGTGTCCTGCCATGCTCGCAGCTCTTGCGCTCACCAGCGCAACGTACTGCAGCCTGGAGCTTGTGAGATTAAATCTAGGGCTTGCAGGTTAAACTCATGCGCAGTCCTGGAGAAGCCACTTCGCTCACGTCATTGCCCCTCTTGGCCAAGGAACTAACCTACGCCTGGCAGCAGACAGACGCGGAGGCACGGCTTAAACAAAGCGTGAGCTATTCGAGCTGCTCGTCCCTGCAGAAACTCCGAGCCGAAAAGAACGGAGAGGGCACTCTTTACCTATAGACAAGCCATCCGGAGGTAAAGGTTTACGTGTCCTTCGACCAAGCCGAAGACCTCTCTGACGTGACCGAGTCGCAGGTGCAATCAGCCACCTGTCGGGCAGAAGCTTTGGAGCCTGGCTGCTCCATTGCTATAGGTGCTACTGCTACTGCTGCTACTATTAAGAAAAAAGAGTCTTACTACCAACTACTACTGCTACCCCTACTGCTGCTGCTGCTGCTGCTACTACTACTACTACTACTACTACTACTAGCAGCCACCCCCCCTACCAACCACCTGGCGTCTCAATCCACCACCACCATCGATCATCATCATCCATCATCATCTTTCATGATGCATCATCATCATCAACCACCATCATAGAAGAGGGTCCGCCATCAC